CGATGGCGTTCTTGCAGAGACGTATATTCTTGACAAAACTAATAAATTCGCCTAAAACGCGCACTTTTGACCATTTTGAGTTTGTTAAATTCTAAAACACTGATTTTTTATTCTCTCTTTTGGTTTTAAGTTGTTAAAATATATCTGCTTAGCCACGATGGCTAGTACTGTGAAATGCATTTCGATATTTCTTATAACTTTACAAGTTGGTCTAGATAGATAGATTAGATATATTTTATTTAAAAAATGCAAGAAATTTAGAGTTAAAAATACAAAACACATATTATGGCATGGTATTAAGACTGTCAGCCAGAGTTCGGAGTGCATTACTATTCCAAGAATATACATAATTATGTAATTATAAGAAAAGGAGAATTTACAATATCAACTTCAGAGGTTACAATTATTTACAGGATTTTCAAATTAAAGATTGAAATGCGACAAACTTTGAAAATAATAAAAATGACACTTGAATGAACCAAAGCAAGGATTCCAACTCACAAAGGGTCCCCCACCGGCAAACAGAATTCGCACTTAGAAGCCCACAAAATAGAAATTATATGTATTACCTGAGAAAGCAAAAAGGAAACAAAATAAGTCGAACAGAAAATTAATCCAGTCCGAAGTCGTCGAATGTAATGTACAATATGCTGCAAGTGCTTTTAATCAGTTATCTAGGATTAATTATTGAATCGAAACACATTAAAAGATAATTTTCCAATTAATTAAGGTTTTTAGTTGAGATAAAAAAATCAGTGTCACGAGCGGGATTTAGCAAAAAGGAGGGAAAATTCGAAAGTTGGGTGGAGATGGGAAGTTGGTGTCCGAGTGGATCGTATTTAGCCGAAGGTCGTGGGTTCGAATCCCGCTCGTGACACTGGCCTTTTTATCTCGACCAAGACCTTACATGGAAAGAATAATTAATCGAAATCTGTTACTTGGTCAATAGGCAGATAAGTATGATGTTTTTTATAGGTATTACTTCTTAAAACAGTTTTTGTGCGGTAAAGTTTTATTTCAACTATAAAAAAATCTACATACACATGAATTTACTCTTCAATAAATGCAATATTACTGTACACCAATTTGACTCATCATTAAGCTAGAATTATTTAATTCGATGATGTAACAAACCCTCAGAAACCTAATTTTTCATCCTCGTAATTTACAGAATGCTGTATTTTCAAGGAATTGGAAAAATCTATGGTTTGTGTCTAGTTAGTGCGTAATCAGACCAAAACATTTTTTTCTTGAGATTTGGACAGATTATCTGAATTTAATCCTGCATATTTCGGACATCAAGCGTAAAAGGTGAAATCCTGACTTAAATTTATCAGTAGCCATTTTATAGCGGCGTGATTGATTTTTAACCAAATTCTTCATCAAAAGGATGACGAGAATTAGATCTAATCGTAAAATTCAACAAGAATAATTAGGTGATTTTTTTACGAGGGTTCGCAACAGCAGAGGTCATATGAACCCTCAGGGTGCGGGTGTTTTTGAAAAAAAATTCCATTTGTAAGTATGTCGGGCTCGAATGCAGGGCCGCTGGATTCGAACCCGGGACCTTTACCTTACAGTGATGAGCGCCGTGTCAAAGACTAAGCCTTGCGGCCACCGACGACCCCCTAAAACCATCCCTAAAACACATTGTTCTAGTATTTTTTAAAAACATTTTTATAAGCGTTTAAGCAGAGTGAATAATTTAAGTAGTATGCGACAAAAATGCGAATTTGGTCTATGTTGAATGTGGTCTCATGTCGGGGTGGGTCGATGCAAGGGAGCTCCATTCAAATCAAGATACACTGGACATAAATGTTATAACAATATTTTCAACAATGAGGATTATCTTAAAGGATAAGCTAATCATCAACCGCAGGCGCGGCAGTGCGAGTTGAGACAGAAAAGGACGAGGAAGGACTCTCTTTCAAGTTGTTGAAGCCACCTGCTCTTTTTTGTAAATGGCAAGGAGTTGTGTTTGTCACAGATCACTTAATTTTATTTTATAATTTGAATACATTTATTTTTTAGAAGGTTAATGTTATAATTTATTGGATCAGGTTAGGGATGGTTTTTTTTGTGGTTATTTTACACTCGTGTGTGAAACGAGTTGCTTCGTGTGAAGGGGATCCACGCAAAGTTCTTAATAATGTTTTAAAGATTAATTATCTTGGTTTGGCCATGAGATTTCCATCTGGTGACAACAGGTAACACCTTGAAAAAAATCTTTTTTTCCACTTATTATATCGGTACACAATAGTTTCTGGAGCTCAATTCTGATGACGTCAATATTTTGGATGAGTACTTATCTTACAAATCATAAGGACATAATACATATTGGATCACACATATACCTAGGTTATTTTTAGCAGTTTAAGGTTAAATTGTGGAATTCTGATTCAGTCTATCAAGTTGTTCAGCATCATGAACAAATAGGGCAAACGTGTGGATGCTGATCTTGATTCCTTATATCGTGTTATTTCTAATTCAATTAATTAAGGTTTTAAGTTGAGATAAAAAAGTCAGTGTCACGAGCGGGATTCGAACCCACGACCTTCGGCTTGATACGCCGCTACTCTACATCTTGAGCTATCGTACTTCGATCTCCTCGGGCATTAATTCCCATCTCTCCGAGGGGATCGATGTCACGATAGCTCAAGATGTAGAGTAGCGGCGTATCAAGCCGAAGGTCGTGGGTTCGAATCCCGCTCGTGACACTGACTTTTTTATCTCAATTTAAAATCTTAGTTAATTGAATAATATTAATTGGACCACGAAAAATAGTGAAGTTATTTATAATTTTATCAAATGACTAGTACTGTGTATTTAATTGTTAATGATAGTTATAATTTAGAAAGGAACACGTAAAGTTATACAGTAATACTTAGACAATGGCAATTATTAGGTATAATGGGCCAGGCAAAGCACAATAAAACAATTTTAAAAAATGTTTGAGATTCATAATTCCTCACTTTATTAACGTTTACGATATAATTTTTTCCGTATTCCTGCGATCGAGGCAGGTGTAAAACCAATCCGAGTCAATTGAACCTCGGCGCCTAGAACATCTAAAAGATGGTGGTGTCTTTAAATAAGAATTCCATAAAACTGGCGGCGAAGGAACCCAGTAATGAGGCAGAGCGTTGCTCCCCTGTAATCTTAGGGGGGCTCACTCCAACACAGGTAGTCGGAATTTATAATTAGGCGACACAACTACGACACAGGAGGCTAGAATCGCAAATTGGTTTCGGAAGGTATAATTTCAAATAGGTTCTCTTGGATTGCAGACGGATGTGTTTATCCCGGTGTACTTTCGACATTTTCAAAACCGGGTTGTAGTCCCATGAAATTGGCCACACCTGATAGCCTTTGGAACAAAACATCACTAATTGTTTTCTCACTTTCTATCTTTCCCTGCAATAAATGTGAAATTTAAACTGGATTGTCAATAGATGGATAAAGTGTGCAAACTTTAGAATTTGACCTTTCTGGTCTTCTTATTTTGTGCGGCTAAAGACTTATTAGGTTGAAATACTGTTTTCCGTATTAAAAGTATATTTATCACTTTCGAATACTCTGGATCAAGGTATGATCTTGAAGAAGACAGCAAATTTAGTTGCTAATGCCAAGCTTTCGACCCATTTTAATGGCGAAACAGCCTTAAATATGTCTACAAATTGACATACGTAAGTGTTTTTTACAAGCAATCTCAAATTTCCTTGAAGTCCTTGTCAGTTCCCACATTGCCAAGGGCAAAAAAAAGGAAAAAAGTGAATAAATGACCTTAAAATAGCTTGGCATCAGCAAATAAATTTGCTTTTTTCTTCTTCAAGACATACCTTGATCCAGAGTGTTCGAAATACTGTTGGACAGCTGATTTGCTAGTACGGGGTATATAAGAATTATTTTTCATTACAGATGTTATAACGTTGTGGGAGCGTGTATTTATGACGTTGTGGGATTAATATGGTTAAATATTATATGGTTAATAAAAATAAAATAAAATAATAAGTCTGTACCCCTGTAAACATAGAAACTTCTTATATTAATAACAAATTAATGAATCGAATATATCTTATAAATGGTTACAAGTAATTTAGTAAGGAAAAGGGAATATTTTGTTATGAAAGAAAGTAATTAAGTGTAAAGTTTTTTTTTTTTGTTTCCTTTTCACTGGACAAGTTGTATAGTATAGTGTAACAAACCTTGATGAACGAACACTACTCAACAAGAAATCTTCACTAGCAGTTTTTTTTTGTCTTGATAACGTCATACACTTTTATTTTTACATTATCTTCTTTCTAAAGTTGCAAGCGACCGAGTAGCTCCAAATTCAGCGTGGCTCTCCTTTAGGCCTGCCGCCGTCCTCTCGTCCGCCTCCTCAATCGTTGGAACTCTGCCTTATTGATTGTTTATGTCGCTTTGGCGGCCTTTATGAAATAGCTTGTCATAACACTTAAAGTTAAATTTGTTAACAGAAATTATTCCCAAATATTTAACTTGTTTAGAAAAGGGGGCAATTACAGTTAAATGAATTTACACTATAATATAATATTAACTTAATAAGGGTTGATTCTCGTATAAGGTGTAATGAATCCAAATTACAGGACCTTTTTCTTTTATTAAATAATTTATTACAAACATCTAATGACTATGGCTGTTTGTCTTCGAAGTTTGAATAGTACTTACTTCATAGAGTGATTATGGTTTGAAGTTTGAATAGTACTTACTTCATAAAGTGATTATGGTTTAGTTTAATGTTATTTATACTTCATACAAAATCAAGTGACAACTATGGATGGTGTGGGGTCTGTTGAATGGACCTTTAAGGGTTTCTAATACACATAAACAAAGATAAATTGAGTAATAAAATAGGAAAACAAAAATTACATGTAAAAATCAGCATTATTTATTTCTTTGGAACATATTTTTTTATTTTGGCTGCTTGGAAAACGTTTGTCGTTTTGATATCTGAATTTCATTGTTCTGTTGAGAAATTGTTTTTACATGTCTTTATGTTTCTTTTGTAGGAATTACATTCAATGTGAAAGGATCAATTCACACAATGGATTTTGTAGAAAACTGGGTTATCACCCAAACCTTGGGAGAAGGGGCGTACGGAGAGTAAGTCGACACTTTACCAATTCATCCTGGCCAAAACTTTTAACGTAGTTTCTTGCAGAGTGAAGCTTGGTGCAAACAAAAGCACAGGCGAGAATTTAGCGATGAAGGTGATAAACTCGTCATTAGATCCTGAGATTAGGAGAGCTGTTCTGAAAGAAATTGGGATACACAAGATCCTCAAAAGCCCACACATTATTCGGTTCTATGGCAACCGTTCAGAAAACGGCATTGATTACATCTTCATGGAATATGCACCACATGGAGAGCTCTTTGATAGGATCGAGCCTGATGTCGGTATGTCGACAAACGACGCTCAGAAATTCATGATGCAGCTGCTCAATGGTGTGGTATGTCAGGTTTTCTTTTCTTTTTTTTTAATACAAATTACATTCAATATTTTGTAAATAGGAGTATTTGCATAGCAGAGGGATTGCTCATAGAGATATTAAACCGGAAAACCTCTTGTTGGACGAGAAAGACAACTTGAAAATCTCAGATTTCGGCCTGGCTACTCTCTTTCGTTCCCATGGAAAGGTAAGCCAATAGTACATGAACCCCAATGTTATCAGATTAAAATAATCCCAACCCTTAATTGAACTTTTGTTTTGGTTATTTCTCTCATTTAAAATTTTTCAGCTTGTCCTAGTGGAACTGTTTTTAAACTAATAACACAAATAGTGACCACAAATCTATCAAGTTATAATTTTTTTTCACAATCAAACTATTCAATATTAATTTTTTTAAATGAATGATGAAATATTAGAAAATCCATACCTGATTACAATTATAATTCAAAAAAGGAACTGGTATGTTTCAGGAGCGTCCTCTGGACAAAAAATGTGGTACCCTACCCTATGTTGCTCCAGAAGTTCTTCACCGGCCTTAACTCTGCCTTATTGATTGTTTATGTCGCTTTGGCGGCCTTTATGAAATGGCTTGTCATGATGTGTATGTACCAACAAAATAAATTTAACTGAATACCGAATAAGACTTTCGGTATGATCTCAAAACCATAATTAAAAAGGAAATCAATGGCTACTGTTTAAGCAATATTTTTGGATACTTTTTTAAAATTTATGTCTCGTATGTTAAAGATCAAATATATACATTTGTGGTCCTTTCTTTTGTATTTTACGCGCAATATGCATTAGTGCTGAATCTACTCACTGATTAAGGCAGCATGACTAATTAGTGTGCCTAATTCCGGAAAGGTTATTTTGTCAGAATATTCTGCAACAGGTGATCTGTGACGTCGTTGTTCAATATTAGCCACACAGCTGAGGTCATCTTTTCTCAAGAGTCAAAGCCCATTTAATGTTCAGAACATGAGGCTGCCTTGACCAGTTGGACGATTCGGTTAATCGCCCGGGCAAAGCTATCAAATCAAAAGAGAAGATCGGCTCGGTCCCGTTATTGAAATGGCCGTTGTTATTTTTGCGCGGTCTAGCCTTATTTTCGAATAAGGCTAGCCACTGGATCATGCCGCTTAACATACTTATACCAGGTCGTTGGGCGTGTTTGATTCGAGTTTTCATGCTGCGGCCTCAGGAGTAACAAAGGCCGGAGATGTGACGCACGCTTCCGGAGATTCACATCTTGTATTTTTCTCTTCAACCTTAATCGCACTCATAACACTAGATGATTTTATGTTCATTAACAATGTTTCAAGATTTATATGTAAAAAAGATAAGTTGAAAAGATACTGTCGTACATATAACTGATGGATTATAAAAAGAATTGCGCGTAAAAACTTCAATAACGTATCATATCAATCCAAGTTTACGAACAGTTCCAAGTCCTCGCCCGTTAAATGAGACTTATAACGGATGGAAGCCGTGATGTGAATTTCCTCGTTTCTGTGTCAGTGTTGATAGATGGGTTTCAAGTGAATATGTATGTGGGAGAAGGCGGCAGCGCTTTGTTCAATTGTTCTAATTGTCACAGAAACACCGCCTTGTGCACTGACACAGCAAACTAAATACCCTTTCTTGTAGGGCACGGCCCTGTTTAAATGCCACACCAATTAATCTCTAAACAACGATATTAAAGATATTACCGACCTATAACTGTTTTTTTTTAAATTTGTAGTACAACAAATACTTTCAAGTAGGTAACAATGAGCAAGGTAATATATACAACATTAAAAACAGGAGTCGAGAAAATACCCACTGGTATTACTCCAATGTTACTAAAACATTGTCTGTTTAATTGATAATTGTGTCATTATCACTTTCACTATTATCACTTCTTAGGAGATCTCGTGGCCATTGTCTCTTCAGACGCGAAGTTTCTGATGTGTTGATTTACGGTAGTTGGGACGTTTTTATGAAATTTGCAGGAACGGATTTCATCTTGAAAGAAAGGGATGTGTAAGTCTGTATGTGTAGTTTCGATACATAAAATGGGGCATTATTATTCGTAGTATAGGACTTGGCAGTTTGAATGCGGTGGATGTTGGTAAGTCTGGCTGAACCCCACACTTCCAATCCGTAAGTCTATATCGGCTTAACTATGGTGTTGTAAAGCAGTCTTTTATTTTTGAGAGGTAAATTAGAACGTTTGTCAAGAAGTCATGCAAGAGCTCTTCATCGTGTCATAACCTTCTGACGTTTCAGTCGTGTCTGAGGATTCCATGTCAGGCGTTTGTCGATAAGTCCGAGGTATCCCATCTTGTCCGCGGTTGGGAGAGGAATATTATTTAAGAAAACAGGATGGAGATCTTTTTACAGAGAGTGACGGTATTGTGGGTGGATTTGTCTGAGTTAAATTGTATTCATTTCTTTTTACACCAAGACTCTAGTAGTATGGGGTGTTGTTGGAGGTTTTGAGTGGAAATGACAAGGTCGGAGTTGCTAGAGAGAATTGCCGTATCGTCTGCGAATGTGAATGTGGTGGTTTCGGGATGAGATGGCATGTCAGCTGTGAAAACCTGGTNTCAGGGGGAGATATGAAGTTGAGGCGTTGGGCGGAGAGGACACTGTGTAAGACACGACCTCGTGGATTAGCTACCCTGCAGCCCCACTGTGGGTGCTTTGCATTATACTGAATTATATTCACTCTGTAGATGTGGGAAGTGATGGCATCTCAGCTGTAAGGACCTGGTAAATCTGAATACAGTCAATTTATATAAAAGCTGAGGGAGTTTTTCTTGGTTACACTTTAAAGCCGTAATATGAAGTAACTGAATTTTTCAAAATTAGACTACACAATAGTAAGAAAGATTGACTTTTTAAAAATGAAATTTCATTATTATCCCTTTTTCAAATATCACGTTATCCTTACCACATATTCTATATTAATTTTATTTTTTATTACATTGTGCAAAAGAATTGTATTCAAATTTGACCAAAAAGACTCAATTTTTTCAGAAAAGTGACAATCCTGAAGTTTTATCGAAATCTGTCCACGTGCTTCCCTATGTATATTTTCAAAACAAAATGCTAATGAGTGCTGCTAAGTTGTTCCAGTTGAAAATAATTGTCGGTTTCATAATTACGAGAATTAGCTATTGAAACATAAATTCTGACTTGATGAATATTCACTTTCTACCGAGTTCAAGCTGTTTGCAAGTTACATAAACGATCTAATTGGTGATATTTTGCGTGCCGTAATACCAGAAACCGAATATGGCAACCAAAACATCAAATATACCAAATTTGACTTATATTTAATATACAAAAACAAAATTAAAAGAAATAAAAGTGCCATGAATAAAATTATTATTCTTAGGTTTTAAATTAAACATTATTTTTCATATGACTTGTATAAAGGACAAAAAAAGATCCTTGAAATCGTATTAGAGATTATATTGAAGAAACTGTATTGTTTAACATCCTGGCTATTACTTAATTTTTAATAAACTAAAATTAAGGAATTGGTTTTGTGGAAGTTGTATAAATCACCCAATTGGTGAAAAGTGACGTATTGTGATACCAGAATCCTGAATACATCGGTTGTGACTTAAAATATAAATTAATTAAAGTTTTCAGTTGAGATAAAAAAGTCAATGGCACCAGAGGGATTCGAACCCACGATCTTCGGCTAGATACGCTGCTGGTCTACCACTTGTGCCGTGGTGCCGATGGTAGAGCAGCGGCGTATCAAGCCGTAGATTGTGGGTTCGAATCCCGCTCGTGCAATTGACTTTTTTATCTCAACAGAAAACCTTAATTAACTGTAATATATTAATTGGTAAGCGGACCACGAAACTAGTGAATTAAAATATAAAGTTACTAAGAGAAAATTTAATAAATATTAATATGCATTTATCAAACAGTGATGAGGAGTTATCAAGTAAGGTTAACAATACAAATATTTATGTTCTTCATTTAATTTTTCGCCTTTTTTTAAAAACATTAAGTGTAGGTTGGTTTTTATTTAAGCCCCATAAGAATATCGTTCTATTTTCTGCGACGTTTGGGCAAATTTGTGTCAGTCTTGGAAGCATTAGGAACAAATCGTAGACTTTGTGACAACCGAAATAAATCTGAAGCAAATATGAAGAACGATATCAAATTTGAGATATTTGTACTAATTTAAACCAGTGCAAGAATGAGTGAACAAATTTTTGCCATTCATTTACGTGAAATGACAATAGAAATAGTCCAAACTTTCTGTACTTTAATCACTTACAGTTGTAGATGATAACTTGCTATTATAAAGATTAATTTATTTGCTATCGTGGTTAAAATCCGTTAATTAACAATTAATAGCTAACAGTAAAGCTTTTCGACTTAAATTCGAATCGTTTTAGTTTTCATTATTATTTTCTATTCGTGTAAATGAGTAAACGTTTGACTGTCAACAGAAACGAGGACAAGCGGACCCAGAGTGATCAATAACGGGTAAGCTGAAACTGAGTCCATCGCCAGTCAACACCATAATAAATCCCGCCATATAGTAAAATAATAATAAACTCAGAGGTGATTTATAATCAATAAACACAATTAATTTCATGTAATTAGTTTATGAGAATTTGAATTAAACAATTTTTGTTTTATGTGGGCCGATTTTCCAACGTACTTAAAAAATATTTTCCTTGAGGTTTAGTAAATAAATCTTATTTCTTTTCGATTTTTTCTCCCAATATGGCCCAATTAGGGGAAATAAAAACCATGAAGTTCTAAAAGCAAGTTAAGCTCCCATATCACCGTTTCAACCGGCTTTCAGTTGAGCTTGCGCCAGAGTTCCCTTGGCAACGGACAAGTTATTTGAACCCCGTTCATGTAGGTAGTTCAATAAATTGAACATGAACAACTGAGAATTCCCAGTATTTTATCCCAAGTTTCAACTTTTTTTTTTTAATTACGATTTGCATTTCTCGTGAGAGGGGATTCTATAAAGCCAAACCTTACAAAAGCTATTGTTGTAGATCATTACTTTAACGGGGCAAAATAATAACCCGCTATTAACATATTGTGAATAACAACCCTAGATGTGTGCTTACATAGCGAGTTTGAACGAAATTATTAAAATGATCAATTAACACGAATCAAGAATGAAAAAGTAATTGTTCCAGCCATAGAACAATACACCGAGTTAATAAGCGTCGGATAACTTCTGTATGTTTTTTAATCAAATTATTTAAAATTTATCAGTTTATCTGATTCAGTATGGGTTTTTTTTTAACGGCGCCCAGGTAGTGCATTCCCTGCGTTGAGAAAGCACCTTTTCAGTTTTTTTCTTGCCTATTTTATTATCTTCCAAAAGCGTTAGTTATAATTTGTGAAAATACATTTTCTTTGACGGGTTTCGCCGCCTAATCGCCTACTTTTAGTCTGCCGTTGTGGATGTAATGGGCGGCGCGGCGGCTCCTTGTTTAGGACAATGACTATTTTAAAACAAGCGTTACTCGGTGAGGCAAATACAAATAGGCATTTCCTTCTA